AAAGAGACGGGGGGGGGGGGGTGACAGTTAATAGCAGTAGTTTTTTGCTATTTCACAATTATTTATCAGTAAGCAAACCCTTTGGGAGGTTGAAGTTATTTCCATTTATTGCACCGACTCCCTTACCCCACCTCCTTCTCTCTCACACACACAGGCTACCACAGTAAAGGCTTGTTACTTTTGTGTCAGCATGCATAAATAGGAAATAAAAGAGCTCTCTCTCCAGCAGTTAGGTCTCCCTCCCCAGTCACGAGAATGAAGATTCTTCTTGCCTACTGGCTTGTTCCTCAAAAGGTGGCAGCTCCTGCGGTGGTCTAAGTTCTTTCCTTTCCCAACACTGATGACTCAGCGCTGACATTAAGAAACCATCCTCTTTAGATGTCATGGGCCACAGAAAAACCATGACGCTTAAGACTCTAGACCCTGGAACCAAAGCGGCTGGTTCTGACTGCAGCCAAATGTGGGATTAACGGTATGCATGTGCGTGTGTGTGAAGCCATGCTTTGGCACCGAAAACGTCTAGTACTCTATTGCCACAAAATATTTTAAACGGGATTCCCCACTCCCACTTAATAAATCAAATTTGTTTGGATTTTCAGTTAAGAATAGGCTGTGTATCTTTTCCCCACTTAAATGGCTGGTTTAAATAAATACTTGAAATAAAGAACAGTGGTGTAACATAATGAGAAAATCCCCAGTCTTGGAGTTTGCATCTCAAACTTATCTGCACTAAGCAGGGTGATCGTGTGTCACTGACTTCCAACTTAAGGATGGTACTATCTAAAGTGTCATTCAGCCTTGATTTAGATTAAGTATCTAAAGTATAAGCTGCTGGCAAAGCTGCAGATGTTCAACACACACACAGTTGCCCTTTCCTAGGGTTGGTTAAACACACATTTACCAAGAATAATAAATTTGCCACTTAATAATAGAGAAGCTGTGGTTTTTAAAACTCGTTACTTCCTAGCAAGTAGTGTTTAGAGGTAACAAAGGTAGGAGGAAATCGTAGGGAATGGCTTTATTGATAAGACTATAAAAGCAATTGGGGTTTTTAGGGAACTCTGTGTGGGTGCTCTGGGCATCAGCTGTGCCCATGCTGCTGTAAAGGCTGGAATGTTCTTCCCTGGTCCACGGCAAAGGGAAAGTCATACTGCATTAAAGCAGCTGGGCAAGGGTGGCGCACACCTTTAATCCCAGCACCCGGGAATCAGAAGTAGGCGGTTCTCTGTGAGTTCGAGGCCAGACTGGACTGCAGAGCAAGTTCCAGGACAGGCTCCAAAGCTACACAGAGAAACCCTGTCTCGAAAAACCAAAAACCAAAAAGTTGTTTTGCTATGAGACATTTACACTAGCATTCTGAGATCATCCAAGTCTAACCATGGTAAGCCAAGCATGCTTTAGAGAAACTTACCCAGGCTTCCTCTCCTGAACTTCCCAAACTCAAAGACTTTTTAAAATAGTCATTTAAAATATCAACAGCATCATGGGTCTGAAAAAATCTATGCCTAATGAGTGACTACAAAGAATAAGTCGATGCTTCTCAAAAGTAGTTTCTGTAAAGAAAAAGAAAACAAAAAATTCCCATGCAGTTCTCCTGGCGGCAGCCCCCAACAAAGCAGGCAAGGTGAAAGCAGAGCGCATCCGAGCAGACCCTAGGAGATGGCCTCACACTCGCTGCTCAAACCCACTGTGAACGTTACAACCAAGCAGAGCTCTCTAGACAGGCCGCCCACAGCCGTCAGAGCTCTTTATGTGAGCCTTCACAAAGCCCATCAGGCAGATCAAGGTTTCCATTCGAGCACTGATACACTGCAAGCAGTGACAGCAGGGGAAAAGAAAAACCAACTTCCAAAGGACGTGGGTCGCCCTGTAGGTTTGTACCGAATGCCTTGAAGCTGTCCCAGGGCCAAGGAAGGAACACAAGGGCTCTGTGCAAGTCCTCTGACTGGGGACGGACACAACCTGAGTTTCTCCATCCACCCTCAGGGGGACAGTTATAGAGCTGCAATCCCAGGTAGGAATGCTAGGCTGCTGATACTGTCTGATAAAGACAGAAGACCAGCTGTGGTGGCTCATGCCTTAAACCCCGAGTACTTGGGAAGTAGAGGCAGCAAATCTTTGTAAGTTCAAAGCCAGTCTGGACTACAAAGTGAGTTCCAAGACAGCCAGGGCTGTTACACAGAGAAACTCTGTCTTGAAAAATCAAAAGCCAAAACAAACAAACAAACAAACTGAAAACCAGCATGAAGAAGAAATGGTATCTGACCCAAACAAGTGATTTCAAGGAAAAAAAAGAAATGAACAGGTCTTCTGTGGAATAAGACATGCTAATAACCAAGGCCTGCATTTCAAGTTATGAGACAACAAATTTTATGAGGAAAAAACATTTAATTTCAGGTTTTTAAAAAAAGCGTATCTAAGATTCTGTGACAAAATTATATAAAGGAATATCAAAAATAAGAGACTTTATTCGCTGTTGGCATATAAACAAAATGTGCGTGTCTCTTGGCACTTTGCTCTAAACCGAACAGATGGACCAAGTTCAGCCAGATGAAAGGAGCCCTTCCTTCCTACCTGACACCAGACCACACAGAATCCATGCCACAGCTATCTGTGCTACTCATCAAGACTCAAGTATGGCCCTACTAGAAAGCCTGATATCTTATCCAAACATTTAAATAAACAGGCTGCGGGCAGTGGTGGCGCACGCCTTTAATCCCAGTAGAGGCAGGAGGATCTCTGTGAGTTCGAGGCCAGCCTGGTCTACAAGAGCTAGTTCCAGGACAGGAACCAAAAACTATGGAGAAACCCTGTTTCGAAAAATCAAAAAAAAAAAAAAAAAAAAAAAAAAAGCCCCACGTCTAGGGACATCTGATTTAGGACGACAGTTTCAAACAGTCTCCTCAGGATAACAGAAAGCTGTGTGCAGTAGCATGTGCCTGTGGTGTTAGCTGCTCAACAGGCTGAAGAAGGAAGATCATTTGAACTGAGGAGTTTAAGGCCAGGCCTGGGAAACAGCTCAAAACAAAACAAAAAATAAATAAATAAACAAACCCACCCAAGGGCAACCACAAATAAAGATTTGTGGCTGTATGTAGAAATTAAGGCAATGCAGATTTTTAATCAGGGAACGACTAAATAGGCATCTCAAGAGATGTAAGTTTGTTGAGTGAATTGTATACAATGCCCAATCAAAGTCCTTTCCTACCATCAGGTTCGTCTCTATGGAGAATCTAGCCAGAGAGATTTTTTAAGGAATCAACAGGAGTCTTCCTGTGCTTGGCAGAAAACCCTGGAGCTGGAGTTGAAAGCAGTGAAGGAAGTGGTATGAAAACCAGGGCTGTTCCATGCCGTGACTAAAAATGTGGTCGTATTTTTGAATTCATAACATCAACTCTGCTTAAGTCAAGAGAACAAGCCAAGTGCGCGGAGAATGAACTCAGGTTTGGACTCTTCAGCACAGCTTGTGTGAAAGGAAACTGATTGATACTGATTCTTCCTTTTCCTGTTCAATCTTTGGTACAAAAATGCTAACACATAACGAAGTGGATAGAAAGATAAAAGAACCAAGATTAAAAAGTCTGACAAATGTGTAGAGTCTCTGCTGAACATGAAAAATTGTCTTTCCATATACATATGAAAAAAGAACTGTATTTTTACACTTCCTGTTGGAGCAACCATAGATAGAAATCAGTAAGCAGACAGAACTCTGTACCTTGTTAACCTGGGAAAGGTATATGTAACTGCAGGTATAACCACTGGTCATGGTATTAAAGCAAGGCAGGAAAAGATAGGAATTAAGGATTCTTTAAATAGTAAATCCCTTTTAAAAATACCTTTTCTTTTCCCAACTTATTAAGGAGGACAGAATTAGGTTACCGTCAAACTATTCTTAAACTAGTTAAAATCAGTAAACAGCACGAGACTGGTGCACACAGTTTAAAGCTGGTTAAAGATGCAGAAGCAGAGACTGATTTCCCTTCTCTGGCTAGCACCCAAGATTGTATGGTGTCTCAGCAGCACAGCTCACTTCATACAGGCCAGGACGATGCCCATGGGCACTGTAATCAAATGCTATGGATATTGAGTAAGCAGCACAAAAATACTATTAAAGCTGCTGCGGTTAAACCCATCCTTAAGGATACAAGCCCTGCCTGCCGAAAGGCACAGAGGAATCACTACACCCAATGTGTTCTCAGAAGCAAAAAGAGCAGCACTCAATGCTATCTCTAGAAGGCAGAGCCTTCCTGGGAGGCGCTGCGGAGAAGCTGAGGCTATCCAGACAGGGTCTCAGTGTGTATCCCTGGCTGGCTTGGAATTTGCTATGTAGACCAGGCTAGCCTGGAGTTCACAGGGATGTGGGTGCCTGTCTTGGCCTCCTCAGTGCTGGGATTAAAGGTGTGCATCACCTTGTCCTGCTATAACTGGAATCTTAATAAGGCTAACATACTGCATTTTGGAAAAAACAAGCCCAATAAATAAAAAAGGCTCAAAACCAATAACCATCTAATTCTAAAGTATAAGAGTCTTGCTGTTTAAATATCCTGCTTACCTGCTCTTCATTTCAAAGTTACAGGACATAGTAATACTGAATCAGGACTCAGGAATGTATTACATAACCTTATTTATTACTATGCAATCCCACTTATAGCCCACTCTCAGACTTTCAGTGAGGTTGTCACATTCAAGACTGCTTCTCAAGGCCATTCACAATTCCTACCTAAACCTATGGTTTTCAAACTGCGTTAAATTAACTGTTTCATTTAAAGTAATTAAGTCTTATAATGCAATCTTACATGATATATAAGAGACAAAGGAGAGGTGCTGTCCTAGTGGTCTGGAACCTTTGACCACCTGGGTGATGTTCCTAAAATCCAAAGCAAAGACTTTGAAACCACCAAACCCTATTAGTGGTTGTGGTTACACGCTTTACAAATACTCATTACAAAGGTAAGGGACAATGTAAGTTTGTACAACATACTATTTATTGAACTTAGAAAGAACTTGATTTTTTTTTCCTTCAAAATTTCAGTCTAATGAGCTGAAATCATTAAATATAAAACACTGGCTCCTTTTCCTTACTAATCATAAGTTACCCGGTTCAGGTAATTACATTAACATTTTCACAAAAAAGGAAAAAAAAAAAAAAGAACAGTGTAAGTCATGCATGGGCTTTACTTTACAAATATCAATTTCTTTTCTGCTAACCACTTCAGTTTTTTGAGACAGTGTTTCTTGCAGTCCTGGCTGGCCTTGAACTTGTGGTCCTTCTACCTGTATCTCCCAAGTGCTGAGGCTTCTTGTTTTCTGACCTCCCCTCCACTGCCTCCTTTTTTACTTTTATTTTTAAAAGACAGAAACCTGCTTTAAAAATTTACAATCTTGGCTGGCTTCAATCTTTTGAGCCTCTCGCCTTAGCTGCCTGAGCACCATGCGTGCCATCACATCCTGCAGAAAACAACTTTTTGATTTTTTTTTTAAAACTAAGTCTTAACCAACTGTCAATTGACTATCCCAAAAAGGAAAATTTTCCTTCAATGACATGTTTAAAATTTTTTTGTCTGTTTTCTTTTCTTTTTAAAATAAACCATAAAATACAAAAGAAATAAAAAAAAAAGTGTAGTAGAAATAGCTTGCTCAGTTTCAACTGCCTCTATGAACATCTGCCTAGGAAAGGGAAAATGTATCCAGTATACAACTGAGTCAACATACAATTTATTTTTCTATGGTAACAGATTTTCAAATTGAACTTTTAAAGTACATTTAACTACAAAAAGTAAGATTAAATAGGTACTTATAAAATATATTTACCCTAAAATGGTTAAGCATATAAAGTTGTAATGCCCATTCCAACAGTACATTACATATTACACACATCATTTTCTTTCCATTAATAACGTAGAAAAGAACCACAATGTTTATTGCTTATATCAAGTGCAGGTTAAAAATCCAGAAAGCCTCCAAAAGCCAATCCTTGTGATAAAGGGTTTCTCGATACTGTCAGTGACACATGATGCTTGATGTGTGAGCACAGCTGTAAGATGTAACAATTTCAACAAGGATCTTTGTCTTTATTTTGAGTCATTGACAGTTTAGGTCTCAGAGGAACCTGCAGTGCTGAGTCCTGAGATGTTGGGCTTGTGACTGTAAATATCCCTTATCTGGTTGATGTCTAGTCTACTGCAACATTTTTGTGGTATGAGGCATTTGCTAACAAACCCTTGAGATTAATACAGCACTGTCAGCTACTAGTGCAGAAAGGTGCTGGGTAAAACTGTTTGTTTATAGGATATTTCACTGAAAAAACAGTGTCCATCCAACCAAAGCACCAACCAAAATGACTGACACAAACCCCATCCTAGTGAGAATAGGTTGCCAATATAACCACCTTTTTCTTTTTCGTTCAGTTTCATTTAGCCTCTGTTTCATCTGCTGCACCTTCTGAGCTGTAGTAGCCTTTCTGTCCTCTCGAATACGTTTCCGTAGAATACTGTAAAAAGACAGAAATAAATTACAGCAAGCCGTAATTACACTGACACAGGGGACTGGCCACCAACAAAACAAAATTTCCTTCAAACAATGTAGCAATAAAAGGAAAGGGTCAAATTGTTCCACATGGCCAATGATACGCTGACAATTCAGGTATAAATTCTGGTATACTTATAGTAATACTTTACCAGGACCTGAAGGTAAGTCAGATATTTTTTTCCAAACTGTCTGCTTCCTCCTCTTTCCTCTCTTTTTCCCAACCAGCTGAGAGAGGGAAAAGACTGGAGGTTCTTCTACATCTGCTCCCCTTGTGATAGCATTCAAAAGCTCAAAGCCCTTTGACAATACTATTTCTATGAATGCTCTGTTTGGGGGGTGCCCACTTGTCTGTCCGACCATACAGATTTCTAGCTCCCATCTTCCATTTCACTGAGAGGTCTCTGACATCCAGGGCAACCAGACCTCGACTCAAAGAAGACTGGCCAGTAGCAACATGGCAGCCACTGAACTCTTGCTCTAGGAAAAAATTCTCAAAAAAACCCATCTCTTCTTACTTACATGTGACAGCAAACACCTGACCAGCTTCAATCTTGGCAGTGGTTTTTGTTTTTGTTTGTTTTTTGTCTTTTCATAACTGTTTTATTTAATCCGGCAGTGATTTTTTTTAAAGTCAGAGCTCTGAACATTTGGCCTGATTAAAAACAATCTTGAATAGCTTTTCAGTATCTACCAGATCACAAGACATTTTCTGGTCAAAAATGTTTAACTTGAATCTAACCAAGAAATCCAAACTATAAGGCATTCTAAAGATCATGGGACAAGTGAAGGGGAAGAAAGTGTAGAAATGTTTCCAGACTGAGGACACCAAGGCATCACCTCACTCAGACACACGCATGAACCTTGACTGATCTAGGACTACTGGTTGACTTTTAGAGACAGATTCTCATTATGTAAAGCCCAGCTTTCCTGGAACTTGGGATTCTCCTGCCTCAGCCTCCAGAGTGTTTGGGTACAGGTATACAGCTCTGAATTCTACTTTTAATTGAATTACTGTGCTTGTGTGCATGAGTGGGAAGAAGGAAAGGGGGGGTGGAGCAAAGGAGGGAGAGAACCTATAGAGCTCAGAGGAGAACTGCTCATTTAAAAACAAACAAAGCCCCCAAAAGACAGGATTTCCAACCAGGCTGGCCTCAAATTCAGTGTGTAACCAAGGATGATCTTAAACTTCTGATCCTTCTGCTGCCTCCTCAAGGGCTGAAATTGCTCATCTATTTTTGTATGCAGCTAGAGATGTAACTCAAGGCTTTGTGCATACGAGGTAAGCACTATAGCTCGACTACATTTTCAGTCATGAATTATATTGTCTTAAATAACTACAAAGTTGGGCTCATAATAAATAAGCTATATGACAATTGTGTGTGCCTATATTGCTAAGTCCTGTGGTGTCTCACTTGGCCCTTTTCTTTTCTTTGTTTTGTTTTTTTGAGACAAGATTTCTTTGTGTAACCATGGCTGTCCTGGAACTTGCTCTGTAGACCAGACTGGTTTCAAACTCACAGAGATCCGGTGCCTCTGCCTCCAGAGCACTGGGGTTAAAGGCGTGCACCATCACAGACTGGCTTGTACTGGCTTTAAAGACAGAAAACTCCTTGAAAGTATTTATGTCATTAAACAACACCCAAACACTCTGACAAAGTAAAACATGATATTAAATGTAAAAACGTGTCTATAGTATTTCACACATGCTGCATTTAGTAAACAGGCTCATCTTTCTCAGTAGGTTGCTACATGGCGCATACCTCTCATTGTTCTCTTCGACATTATCTTGCATCTTAGAAGAAAGTCCTGTTAGTTTTTCCTCTTCTGAACCTATTTTCTTCCCATTGTACTTTTCAGTCATTGTTCTGTTCTGCGAATGATCACAAACAGGAGACAAATCTTCTTTAGAAAGTTCTCTCCACCGTTTCTAGGAAGAGAAGAGAAGTAATAAGTGTTGTGGAATAATCCTTCTGTACAATGTGAAGATGTGTCACTTGGGTTGGTTTAATAACAAGTTAAACAGTTAACAGTTAGGCAGGACTTTCAGGGAAGAGAGAATGCTGGTAAAAAGAAGGCAGAGATGTGAGGAGACACCAAGGAAGAAGGAAAGCAGGATGGACAATACACAGATAAGGTAAATGAGCCTCAGGGCAGCACAGAGATGAATAGAAATGGGTGAATTTAAGGCATAAGAGCTAAGCTAAAAACAAGCCTAACTTTCATAATTAATAATAAATCTCATGTCATGATTTGAGAGCTGGCTGGTACAGTAGAAAAATTTGACTACACATAGTGCCAAATGTCTGGCCACATATATCCACGTAAGTCCTAAGAAAATTTATTTAATAAAAAAAAAAAAAAAAAAAAAAAA